AACAGATTTCCCTTCTTGCAGGATAAGTTCTGCAGTACTGCAGATTAGAGAAAATAGAATGTCATTCAGAAGTCTAGAGGAAGGTCCTGTTTCTAAAAGTGATGGACTCCAAGAATCAGAAGATAATTCTAAAAAACTGCTTTGCATCTTTGTTAGAACATAAGAAGGCACGGCTTTTATGAAGTAGAAGTGAAAAATTATGAAGAAAGAGCAGGTAACAATGGAAGGAGAGCAGAATGAAATACAGAACTAGTGTGAGGAATGTAAGCACACATGGGGATATGGTGAAAACAAGGCCAGCAGTGGTCACAGAACACCTAAAGTTACTGATGCTGCCAAGAAAACAGCAAAGGTGGCTGGGCGCGGTAGCTCGCGCCTGGAATCCCAGCCCTTTGGGCGGCCAAAGCAGGCAGATCAGAAGGCCAGGAGTTCAAGACCATCCTGGCCAATATGGTAAAACCCCGTCTCTACTAAAAATACAAAAATTAGCCAATCATGGTGGCAAATGCCTGTAATCCCAGCCACTTAGGAGGCTGAGGGAGGAGAATCATTTGAACCTCGAAGGCGAAGGTTGCAGTGAGCCAAGATCATGCCATTGCACCCTAGCCTGGGCAACAGAGCAAGACTTCATCTCAAAAAAAAGAGTAAAGGCAACTGGAACAGATACAAACCAAAGATGTCATTTTTCATCATTTCAAGGCTCAGGTTACCAGGTTCCCATATCCATGAAGCTTTGCCTGAACACTATTTGTTCAGTAACGGAGTGAGAGCCTACTGTGTAACAGACTCTGTGTTGTGGACCAAGATAAAATGGTGATCTCTCTCCTGTGGTCCTTCTACACCCAGTCCCCAACTCTACCACGGCACCTACAACATTCTGCTGTTTGTAACCATTAGCATATCTGCCCTGCAACAGAAATGTGGGGTCCTAGAGGACAGGATGGTAATTTGCCCATCTCTATATTCTTAGAATCTAATACAAAAAAAAAGTTTCTTGAATGAATAATGATGCGCATGAATGAAGTGCATCACCAGATTGACCAACAGCTAGTTCTCCTACGATTTCTTTGACAACAACAGTTTACAATCAATTCTTCTAGGACCATCTGGTGTTGATTCTCTGACCACACCTCCTGAGGCCTCATTAGAGTACAGAGTCCACTGCTCTTGCAGTTGTGTAATTATCCAGTATTTCCTTTTCACGTTTCTATTTCCTTGTGGATATTTATTCAAAAACAATTTCTAATAACTTTCTTTAATAACTTTTTCCTAATTTTAAAAGCAATGCAAGCCCGTTTGTACACAGAAAAGCATAAAGCAAACTCACACTTATAAGAGGTATTTACTGAGGTCCACCCAGTCCTTCAGAGCAGGGCTGTTTTCATCATAGCCAGGCCCATCCAGAGCACTTGGAACAGCTCAGCATACAGTAGGCGCTCAGTAATGAGTATTGGTCAGATGAATGTTCGTGAGCAGGTACCTGATCTCCATAGCCTCAGCTGCTTGCTGGGTAAGGGGAGGAGCTTCCCTGGTACCTCCAAGACCCCTGAGCTCCTGGGCATGCCCTGGTGGCCGCCACTGCCCTGGGAATTAGTGCCATCTCTGTCTCCCGGTGCTGCGAGACCCTTTGGGCCCTGTGGCTACCAGGCATTTCTTCTACATTTGGGGTCTCAGGCTCTGGGGCTTATTGGGGCCACAGACTTGTTTCTAAGCTTAAGACGCCTGGTTTTCTGGCATTCTCCATGCCGTGAAGCTGCACCATGCTCCCTTCGGGACTGGACAGGAAATTGCCCCCTGTCTTTTGTAAGAAGGGTGTAAAGCTGGTGGTCTGACCTACTAAAGACCTGGTATTGGTGGAAGTTCTTTACGTCTTTAATATTTTGGTACTTGCTTTTGTTCCCCCACTGACGGCTTAGCCTGAAGACTTCATTCCTCTCCACCTTTACGGTGCAAAAGAGGAAAGTTGAGGAAGGAGCCTGACATGGTTTGGATGTTTGTCCCCTCTAAATCTCATGTTGGAATGTGAACTCCAGCGTTGGAGGTGGGCCTAGCAGGCGTTAGTGTTAGTGTTAGGGTCATGGGGGTGTAACCCTTAAGAATGTCTTAGTGCTGTGCTCGCGATGATGAGTGAGCACTCACACTGAGTTCACACGAGATCTGGCTGTTTAAGAAGAGCCTGGCACCTCCTCCCTCTCTTGCTTTCAGTCTCTCCATGTAATACGCTGGCTCCCCTTCACCTTCTGCTATGATTGGAAACTTCCTGAGGCCTCACCGGAAGCAGTGCTGGGCCTATGCTTCGTCCACAGTCTGCAGAACCACGAGCCGAATAAGCTGCCTTTCTTTGTAAATTACCTAGTCTCAGTTACTCTTTTAAAGCAGTGCACACGGACTAACACAGGGCCTAACCAGGAAAGCCTGCCCACAGCCCTTGTACCTCTGCAGTGAATAGAGGAGCCCCACCTGGGTGCACCCCCAGGGGTGGGGCTGAGGGGAATCAAGTCTGAGTAGGAAGGAGCTTCTGTGTGGGTGGCTCCCTCTTCCACCCGTAGGGAGGAGCAGGGAGATGGCCGAGGCCAAGATTGCATCCTGTGACTTAGAGAGGACAAAAGCACTCGAGCCTGTACATCTTCCAGAAGCCCTCACCCACCGCAGGGAGAGGCTCTCAGGATGCGCGGTAGCTGTCTCCAGGCCTCCCAGGCCAGCCCTCAGGTAGTACAGCTCCCCTTTAACTGGCTCGGCACAGTGAGCGTTTGTATGACATTTCATGTTCTTTTCAGAGGTTGCACAGCCAGGAGAAGTTTGAAAGCCCCTATTATCCAGGAAAGCCAACAGTTACCCAGAAAGGGCCTCTTCAGGAGGCAGCACCTGGAGGTAGTCTTTTCCCCTTCAGCTTTGCAAGTCCCAGAATTCCCCTGTGTCAGGATACCCAGAAGAGGTCAGTTCTGAGCTACTGACTTAACCAGATCCATAGGGAATAATGCGTTGATCAGAGCACCAGTACATCTGATCACAACTGAGAATGCCCCTTCCGGGGACCTGAACACTAGTGACTAGCATTGGAAGCCACCTGGCTAATTCTTCCTAGTATCAAAATAGCCAGGGCGCGGTGGCTCATGCCTACAACCCCAGCACTTTGGGAGGCCAAGGTGGGCGGATCACTTGAGGTCAGGAGTTTGAGACCAGCCTGGCCAACATGGTGAAACTCCGTCTCTATGAAAAATGCAAATAATTAGCTGGGCATGGTGGTGCATGCCTGTAGTCCCAGCTACTCAGGAGGCTGAGGCAGGAGAATCGTTTGAACCCAGGAGGCAGGGGTTGCAGTGAGCTGAGATGACACCACTGTCCTCCAGCCTGGGCAACAGAGCAAGACTCTGTCTCAAAAAAAAAAAAAAAAAAATGTGTAGCCAGAATGCCACATTAGTAATCACAAGACTATTTCATGGAGCGGTAATCAAAAGCAAGGAAGTGGCCAGGCACAGTGGCTCATGGCCATCTGTAATCCCAGCACTTTGGCAGGCCAAGGTAGGTGGATCACGAGGTCAAGAGATCAAGACCATCCTGACCAACATGGTGAAACCGCATCTCTACTAAAAATACAAAAATTAGCTGGTGTGCTGGCATGCACCTGTAGTCCCAGCTATTCGGGAGGATAGCAGGAGAATCACTTGAACCCGGGAGGTGGAGATTGCAGTGAACCGAGATTGTGCCACTGCACTCCAGTCTGGCAACAGAGCAAGACTCCGTCTCAAAAACAAACAGAAAAAGGCAACGAAGGTGAATTTAGTCAATGGCCTTTTATCCAGGTCACGGTGGACCTGAGGATTTGTGTCTTTTTCAACAACAAATTCCTCTCTCCTGCCTGGAAACCTGCAGCTACTGAATCCAGGGTCTCTCTTTCCCTCCTGGATGGCGCTGAATGGAACCTCCCTGGAGCAGACAATGTTCTTGCTATCCCCTGGCCAGTTCTCACTTCTTGCTTCCCCAAAGAACACTCCCTGTCCTGGTACTCATCCTCCTCAGCCTACGGATAGGCTTCAGGGAGGTGAGTCCCATGCGAGGCCCCAGGAGATGAATCTTCACTGGTCCAAACAGTGGCTCTCCACCCTGTTGGATCCAATACCCTCTTTTCATAACAAATATTTTTATCTTTTTTTGCCTCAAACTCTTAGGCTCAAATGATCCTCCCACCTCAGCCTCCTGAGTAATGGGACTATAGGCGAACACCATCAGGCTCAGCTAATTTTTTTTTAATCTTTTGTAAGGATGGGGTTTTCCTATGTTTTCCAGGCTAGTCTTTAAATCCTGGGCTCAAGCAATCTTACCACCTCAGCCTCCCAAAGTGTTGGGATTATAGGCATGAGCCACTGCACCCAGCCCTACAAATATTTTATGATGTCCCTTTTACTACATTGAAATTAAATTTGTATACAACGTAAACTATCTGTACGCATAATTTTTAAAATTAAATAACTATTATGAAGTAGAGTTAAAAGAGAAACAATGTACAGTAAAATAGCATGTATATAATGGAATACTATGTAGCCATAAAAAGGATGAACCCATGTCCTTTGCAGGGACATGGATGAAGCTGGAAACCATCATTCTCAGCAAACTAACACAAGAATAGAAAACCAAATACTGCATGTTCTCACTCTTAAGTGGGAGTTGAACAATGAGAACACATAGACACAGGAAGGAGACCATCACACAAGGGGGCCTGTCGGGAAGTGAGGGGCTTGGGGAGGGATAACATTAGGAGAAATATCTAATGTAGATGACTGGGTGATGGATGCAGCAAACCACCATGGCATGTGTATACCTATGTAACAAACCTGCACGTTCTACACATGTACCCCAGAACTTAAAGTATGATTTTTTTAAAAAAGCAGATAAAAAGCAAGAAAACAAACAAACAAAAAAACACATGTATTTCAACATGCAAATGCTCAGCAGGACTGCGCTAAAAGAAGCAACAACATTGCAAGTGCTAGGATCCATACCTGGAACGGCAGTGAATGTGGCAGCCACCAGGGCAGGCTCATCCAGGTGTACAGTACTGGGAGCTCGAATTCCATGAGTGATGTTGACATTGCTAACACGATTTCCTAAAACAGTGAACAACTCCTGGAAAAATTCTAAAGAAAACAAAGCAAGGTCTTCTCTTCATGTGGACAGCAACTGCTTTCCTGGAAAATACAGTGTGTTTTAAAAATGCTTTGGGTTTATATATGAAAGAGAGTTTGGTCTTGGCTCCTACAATTTTGAAGATTTTTCACTTGTGCAAATGTTCAGTGGGTTCAAAAATCATGCAGGTCACAGAGTGTGACCATCCTACACATTACAGGTTGTCTGCCATCTCTAGTCTCCGCCCACTACATGGCCATAGCCCTATCCGAATTATTGTGCCAGTCAAAAATGACACCCTCCACATTTCCACAATGCCCCATGGACCCAAGTGAATCCTGGTGCTCCCATTCCCCCTTTCCTGTGGGAATTCCACCGGAGGCCTTTTGCAGAAGGTGTTTCTATAACACCTGGTAAGGAGAGACACAGGTGAATAAACAGCACCTTTCTCTGCCTGTGGTTGTTCTATAGGAATGTGATGTCTGGGGTCTGCAGTCCCCTTGCTAGCTGGGGGGATCTAGCCTGAGGAAGAGGCCAGCACACTGAGCAGGGCAGAGCAGAAAGGGGGACGGAAGCTGGAGACCTGAGGCCTTCAAATGAGCCACTGCAACAGCCAGCCCCGGAACTGCCCCACCTCCAGATAGTAAATATGTGCGCAAGTTGGTAGAGTTGGAACTTTCTGTTCTTACAGCCGAAAGCTTCTTCCTTATAAAAAGCCTCCATGGCTGGGTGTGTTGGCTCATGCCTATAATCCCAGCGCTTTGGGAGGCCAAGACAAGAGGATCATTTGAGGCCAGGAATTTGAGACGCAGCCTGGGTAATGTGGTGAGACCCTATCTTTATAAAAGAGAAAAAAATTCAAATTATTTTTAAAAAGCACTTAGATTATGGCTGTTTGAAGACTTCATTTTGGGGTTTAATGCAGAGGATCTGCCTCCTTACTTAGTTTTACCCTGAGACAGTGAGGTGATCTGGTTAAGGACAATTTCTGGCTCACATTCCAGGTCAGCTTTCATAGGCTGTGTAAATTTTAGCAAGCCACTTAATCTTTTGATGTCTCATTTCCTCACCTGTAAAATGGGGACAATAATGGCTTTCAAATTCTAGGGACCCAGTAAAGATTAAACAAGTTAATACAAGTAAGCACTCCAAACAGTGCCTTCATATCATGAGGCTGAATCAATGTTAGCTATGATTACAGAGTATTTTTAGTTTCTTAGTTAGACTTATTTTGGCCGCAAATAACAAAAATTCAACTTCAACTAAATTAAGCAAAAAAAGAAAAAAAAAGGACAGAGAGGGAGAGAGAGAAATTATTGGCAACGGGGATGCCAAGATGGGTTACAGAACAAGGAAGAGCGGCTGGAATTCATGCCCTAGGATCAAATGTAACCTTGTCCTTCAAGACAAGTGGTTTCTATCCTCAGTTGCTTATCAAACTCACCAAGACGGCTTTTAAAGTCCCAAAGCCTAGGCAGCACCAAAAACCAACCAAATGAAAATCTCTGGGACTGGGATCCAGGCACCAGTATTTTTTCAGGCTCCCCACTTGATTCCAATATTTAGCCAATGCTGGAAACCACTGCTGTTAAATCTCTCTTTGTCTGCCTCTCCTCTCCGCTTCCCTCTGCTTCCTTTCATTCTACAGAAAGCTCTTCCCACCACAGCCTCAATGTCTATCCTCCCAATATAAAAACCTCTATAGAAGAAACAAACAATTATAAAATTAGCTGGGCGTGGTGGCGCATGCCTGTAATCCCAACTACTCAGGAGGCTGAGGCAAGAGAATCACTTGAACCCGGGAGGCAGAGGATGCAGTGAGCTGAGATCATGCCACTGCCCTCCAGCCTGGGCAACAAGATCAAAACTTCGTCTGAAAAAAGAAAAAGAAAAAACAAACACACACAAAAAAAGCGTTTTCCTCCCACCATCCATGTATCAATGGATTTAGCCTATTAGATCTTGTATTCAACATTTTTATTCTGATCACTGTTGCTGGGGCATAGGGAATGAACCCATCCCTGCAGCCAGGAACTTTGATAACTCACTAGAAATACTTGGAATGGACACAGAGCAATTTCCTGTTCAATGAACATGAAAAATCCAGATATGTGATCTAAATAAAGTAAAACTAGTTAGACTTCCTTTTGGTTGATATAATTTATTGTCAGCATAATTAGCTTCAACCATTTTTGTAACAAATAAGATTTGGGCTTGATGGTGTCTTGTCTTCGTGTCTTTTAACCACTGAAAGTGACAGAGGCTATTGCTTTGCCAGGATGCTGCGTGTGTCTGTCTCTCGACTATCTTGATGGATTTGCAGGCTCTTGATTCTCTGAAACTGCTTATTCACTAACTCCCTGTCACACCCACGAATGACTGATCTCATACGTTACCCTCTTGATTGATCTCCATTTCACTTGGGGATAAAGTCAACTTTAGGTAGGACTCTACTTAGTATTTCAACTCAAACTGAAATCCGTTTTCTCAAACTTTTGGCACCTCTCCTCCACTTTACTTGGTGCGCTCCAGGCTGGAGTAGCCCTGTGGAACTGCTTCGGGTTAATTTTTTTTTTGTATCTAAAAGATGATTGAAATTATACATGGATTCCTCAATTGTACTTATCCACTTGTTCTGAAGCACACCTAACAGATCTTTTTTTTAAGACAAGATGTTATCGAGAGCTTGTCTGGAGGTTCTAGCAGGGAGCGCAGCTGCTCTCTACCCTTGGCCAGTCCTCCTCTGTTGGGGATGGTCCTCCTCTTCCACTGAGCATGCAGCTTCAGAAGGGATGCATATGGAGCAGCGAGGGAAGAAGGAGACACCCGTCTAGCCCTCCAGAGCAGCTGAATCAACCCTGGCGATCAATGAGGTGACAGATGTGGCAGCCATATCCAAAACTGGGTATCGTCGAGAACAATAAAACATATTCCCAACCCTCCAGAAAGTGGGGACTTTTTTGCTCAGTTGGAGGGAAGTGCATTTGAGGAGAGACGCCACAGTAAATACCTGCACAGGATTAACATAATTCCCAGTGCAACCAAATGACCCCGGGGAGCATACCCGCACCCCCAAGGAGCTTGTTCCCTTCACTCTGTCTCTGCGGCCTTGTCATCGCACATTTTCTGCATTCATCTTACTGCAGTTTTCACAGACTGTGGTTGCTCACTGAGCAGTTAATATTGATCTCGGGGTTTCCCAACTAGCTAAAGCCACTGCTGCAGTGTGACAGAGAGCCGATGGGCAAGCTGGGGGAGAGGCTGCCGAGAGAGTCACACAGGGCCTTTGCCATTCTATGAACTACCACCGGCAGCTTGGAGCGGGAAGGAGTCTTGAACTTTTGGTTGGTTCTTACACAGACAACTGATAGGCCTCTTCCTGTTTTGATCACTCTTTGCACAGTTTCAGATGAAGCAAGAAAGTGCCCCCGAAGGAGCTTTGCCTACCACTAGAGGGAGGAATGTCCCAGGCCCGTGCTGCCTGGAGGACAAGGGCCCACAGCACAGAAAAGATTTACCACACTTCCCCCCAGAGACCCTCCTGCCCCCAGCTGGGCAGGAAGCCACCTGCCACAGCAACGGTCACTGCTGGGGTCACGCTTTTCATGTGCATTACATTTCCAGATCTGATTTCTGCATGAAGCCGCAGCATCCTCCTTGGTGTTCTTTGAAAGCTCTGTGTTTTTCCAGCTGTCCTACAAACCTTTGTTGGCCCAGGCTGCCTGCCACACAGCTTTCCAAAATTACTGAGGCGATTGACATTCTTTCCACCCGCAGTATCCGCACTGACCCCTCCACCATTTGTGAATGCAAATCCTTATCCCGTTCTACGAGTTTGTCTCACTTCGGGTATCAAAAAAGCCTTGTGCGTCACTCTCGGCCTGAGAGTAGCACTGGAAAGAGGTCACTGGGCACAGCCGGGATTAACTTCCTCTGCTCTGGAATTTCATATAAATAGAATCACACAGTATGCCTTTTTTCTCTGTGGCTATGTTTGGCCAACATTGTCTATGAAATTCACCCATTTGATAGTATGTAACAGTATTTAAGTCATTCTTAATGTGGTCATTCTTCAATATAGTCAGCAATATTTCACTTATGACCAGACCACAATCTGTTTATTTCCTTATTGAACACTTGGGTTATTTCCAGTTTTTGACTACTGTGAATCAGGCTGCTGTGAGCATTCTTGTGCAAGGCATCGTCTAGATGTGTGTACTCATTTATCTTGTGTATATTCCCAGGAGTAGAATTACTTTTCCTGTAAGTGTATGTTTAGCTTTATTAGAAACAACCAGTTTGGGCTGGGCATGGTGGTTCATGTCTGTAATCCCAGTAATCTGGGAGACCAAGGCGGGCAGGTCACTTGAGGTCAGGAGTTCGAGACCAGCCTGGCCAACATGGTGAAACCCCATCTTTACTAAAAATACAAAAATTAGCCAGGTGTGGTGGTGCATGCCTGTAGTCTCAGCTCCTTGGAGGCCGAAGCAGGAAAATCACTTGAACTCAGTAGGTGGAGATTGCAGTGCACAGAGATTATGGCACTGCACTCCAGCCTGGGCAATACAGCAAGATTCCATCTCAAAAAAAAAAAGAAAAGAAAAAAGAAATAGCCAGTTTTCCAAAGTGGTGTTTTAATCTACATTCAATCTTCACAACAATCTGAAGTGCCCATCAGTCAGCTCACAATTGCTTATTGAGCACCTACTAAGCGCCAAGCACTGTTTTGGATGCTAGGATAGAGGAATGAATAAGACAGATAAGGTCCCTGTCAGTAAAACACAATCTCATGGGGGAAGATGGGCAATTCAACCTAAATGAACACACAATTAGGCCAGGCGCATTCACTCACGCCTGTAATCCCAGCACTTTGGGAGGTCAAGGCAGGTGGATCACTTGAGCTCAGGAGTTTAAGACCAGCCTGGGAAACATGATGAAACCTTGTCTTTACCAAAAATACAGAGAGTTAGCCAGGCGTGGTGGCACCCATCTGTAGTCCCAGCTACTCAGGAAGCTGAGGTGGGAGCCTGGGCGGCGGGGGTTGCAGTGAGCCGAGATTGCACCACTGCACCCCAGCCTGGATGACAGAGCAAGTGCCTTGTATTATTTCAGGAGCTCATACGTGGTGCTATGGGAAATGGAGTGATAGGCTGGAGTGCCGTGGAGGGGTGCTACTCTCTTTGGTGTTCAGCGATGGTCTCTTTGAGAAGCTGACAACTGAGTTAAGACCTGAGAGACAGGGAAGATGTGGCCCTGCAGAGCTTTGGGAAGAGACTAGAGGCAGAAGGAACAGTAGGTGCAACTGCCCTGGGGAAGGAAAAAAAGTGTGGTGGTGGCCGGGCGTGGTGGCTCACGCCTGTAATCCCAGCACTTTGGGAGGCTGAGGCGGGTAGATCACCTGAGGTCAGGAGTTCGAGACCAGACTGGTCAACATGGTGAAACCTCATCTCTACCAAAAATACAAAAAATTAGCCAAGCGTGGTGGTGCACACCTGTAATCCCAGCTACTCTGGGGACTGAGGTAGGAGAATCGCTTGAACCCAGGAGGCGGAGGTTGCAGTGAGCCGAGATCATGCCACTGCACTTCAGCCTGGACAAGAAGACCAAAACACTATCTCAAAAAAAAGTGTGATTTGGAGGAGAGAAAGAAGGTACCTGAGCCAGGCACACAAGTCATTCATTCACTCCTTCAACAAATGAATATGTAAGGAGCTTCTGCTATGTGTCAGGCACCTTTCTAGGCGATGAGGATCCAGCAATGAACAAAACAAACATCCTGCCACCACAGAACAAGGAGAGAACAGGCAGGAGGGCCCGGAGGAGGAAGAAGAGGCCAGGTGAAGTCAGACCATGCAGACCATATAAAGGAGTTTGGATTTTCCCCTGGAGCAGCAGGAAGCCATGGAGGGGTTTTAAGCAGAGATGTGAAGATGATCTAATTTACAGCAAGGATGGAGGCAGGGAGACAGAGTAAGACTCTTATCTCAAAAAAAAAGTTGCAATGCAAGGTCTCATGGCATTTAAAGGGACAGACCACTCAAGCTTATGTGGTCTATTTTTACTTTATCACTCTCCCAATAGGGTACCTATTGGCTCAGGTGTCTTCTAAAGATCCCCTCAAAGAGAAACCCTCAGCTCATGTGGCCAGAGTGTTTACAGTCAAGGAGACACCACATGGGCAGTGTTTTGCTTGGGGAGCTAGAACATCTCTAGACAAGGAGACCAAGGGCTCCAAATTAAAATCACACGAGACCAGATCAAACCACCCTTTGGGCTTGAGTCTTTACAATTCTAGACCCAGTGAAGAGGTCCACTTGAATCATGACAGCCTGAAAGATTTAGTGCATTTCTAGACTCTCATGGATTCAAGCCTTCTTGGACAGAATAAATCACTGGGTGGCATTTATTTCATTCACATGTATTTGCATATGTATATGTATATGTGTGTGTGTATATGGTGTGTATATGCATGCGTGTATATACATATGCAGTGTATGTATATGCACACACACATACATGCACATGTTCCAGCCTCATACACCTAGAAAAACTGAATTAAATAGATAGTAAAAAAAATCAGAATTTCTTAAAACTTCTTTGAAAATCATCTCCTGGCCTTCACCTCATTTTCTGTGACATTTTCTTCTCGAAGCTCTAAATTCTTTTCATAGCCCCTGAGTAGGTGACAGCCATTTGAGAAAAGGCTCGTATTGTCTTGCTTTCCTTTGGAAAGCAAGGTGGGCAGGTGATTTGAGGAGCTGGAAGAAGGGAGGGTACATTTTTCCTGTACCTCAGATCTGGCAGTGCCGGGTTTTAGAAGCTCCAGAAAATGTAGCACTTGATTAGACTGGGAGAGAGGAGACCCAGGAGGCTCAGAACTAGAAGCAAATGTGGGTTTGAAGTGTTATTCTCGTCTCCTCTAGGCCAGTCTCTCCTCATTGTTCTCGCTGCCTGCAACAGCTATTTTCTGAAGCGTAACTCTCTCCTTGCTGAAACAGAGCTTTCGCTTGACTGATGCATTCCTGTAAAGAAATGAGGAAATGGAGAGAGAGGACCAACTTCCCACGCAGCCGCCTCCCTGCCAGAGCAGGCGGACGCCGTGGGCATGTGTGGGTGGCGGTGCCCCTGTCTTCATCGTTGTGCTGGTGACTACAATCAGTCTCTTAGAAGATGCTAATAAGATGCTTGTAGAAAGCTACAAAATCATCGTGACAGATGGTAGAAGTTTAGGTTCTGATTTTTCTTATTCCACTATTATTTTTCTTGAGAAATGTGCTCATCAGTGGCCTGCTTTTTTGTGCTTTATTTTGACAAAAAAGCCACAAATTAATTATTAATCCTTTTTATCTGACCTTCCTCTAAACATAAATTCAAGGAGCATTATTATCTTTTAGAAACAAAGTAAATAATGATTCAGCCCCTTCCCTCTGCCCCTCCCACGCATTTTTTTTAACACTAAAAAAATTCCTTTAAATTTCTCTGAAACTACAGAGATAATATTTACCATTGCTATGAGTGCCCTGGTGATGTGTGATTTCATTTTCTTATTGGCTGGGGGGTAGGGTTGGGTTATTGCATTCTGGTTATTTTTTACTCCCTCTGAAAACAGACTTAAAAGCAAAAAATATTAAAGACTCTAATAAAAAGGGTAGCTGCCATTCATTAAATACCTTCAATGTGCAAGTACCATGCTACACAATGTACTGACATTAAATTATTAAATCCTCACTTTTCTGTTTGTTTTTTGAGACAGAGTTTTGCTCTTGTTGCCCAGGCTGGAGTGCAATGGTGCAATCTTGGCTCACCGCAACCTCCACCTCCCGGGTTCAAGTGATTCTCCTGCCTCAGCCTCCCGTGCAGCTGGGATTACAGGCATGCCACCATGTCCAGCTAATTTCGTAGTTTTAGTAGAGATGGGGTTTCTCCATGTTGGTCAAGTTGTTCTTGAACTCCTGATCTCAGGTGATCTGCCCACCTCGGCCTCCCAAAGTGCTGGGATTACAGGTATGAGCCACGTGCCCGGCTGTAAATCCTCACATTAATGCCGTGAGTAGGTACTATTATTACCCTATTTTAGAGATGAGGAAACTGAGACTTGTAGAAAGAAACTTGTTGTGCAAGATCAGACAGCGAGGACGTGGCAGAACCAGAACTCAAAGCCAGGGAGCTCCACTCCAAAGCCTGTGCTTTGAGATGGTACATTCTTCTGTTTTCTCTGTTGAATTCTAGTTGTATTAGTGGTAGTCTCTGAGCTTTAGGGGCATTTATTCCTAATTTCAAACTCTTTGGGGGCCAGATGTTAAAATGCTCATTTGTGGAAAGAGAGTTGGACATGAGTTATGGAGGCACTGGCCTGACCTTAAAGATACAAGGTAGGCCCACCATTTTGCAAATGCAGAAATTAGAGTATGATGTTTCTGTTAACTATTGACGTGTAGCAAACTGTCCTAAAGTTTGGTGGCTTAAACCACAAAACCATTT